TGATTGTTGATAGAAATGAAATGAAACGTTAACAAGGTAAAGTAATTACTATACGAAAATGTAATGACTTGACGGACATTTTTTTTTATGTGATACTTATAATGTTTAGTCTAATACACTTTTTAACATATTTTTGACAAATATACCAAAAAATGTACGAAATTTTTTTTAAATGTAAGCCTGCACATTACACTTTGTTGTTAATATTTATTAATAACATAACAATACACATATGGGGAGAGTTTTCTCAACTGTCCCAGTGCTACCACAGACAGGCCGAGTGAGCGCAAAAGACGACTTTTTTATCTCGTCGTTTGGGCCTGAGAAAAATGTTTTGAAAATCACAAAAGCATAAATCCTCGTATACTTTTTTCTCAGCTTTCTGATGGTGCTATCAATTTCCACAAATTTTCACTTTATAACCTATAAAAATGCAAATGTGGTTAAAAATGCGTTAAATCTCATGATGTTCAATTTTTAGAGTATTTTGAAATATTTAGATCAAAAGATTAAATCATTTTACTAAAGCATAGTCAATAAAAAAAGAGGGTTTTTTTGATATTTTTATGTATTAAACCGATGAATGCATAGGTGCGAGTTACCGCGCGGTACGGGTGGCTGCTACGTGCCCGCCGCCGCTCCTAACGCTGCCACACACTGCAAGACACTTTTATTTATTTTATTTTTTTAAGATACAAATAACAATTAATAAATTTAGATGAAAATTTAGTAATAAGTAAACATGTAAGTAACAACGTAATATTTTATTATTAATATTCAAGGAGTAATGAGCTTACACTAATAAAAAAAAGATATAACTATTTTTTCTGTACTTTTCTGAGTATTTACTTTATTTTTCTTTTCTTTTTATCGACAGTAATCGTTTTCAAAACCATCGTACGCCTTTTTAACTTCGGGAATATTTCACATTCATCACTTGCAGAAGTATTTTTTAGCATAAACTTATTATCACTAGTAGGTATAAAAGCGTGATAATTCAAAGTCCCTGAAATCATTTTTGCGTTTGAAATTCGATCTTTGAATGTGTTGGCACTGTCTTCGCAGTCAATTTTACTACTTAAAAAAACTATCGTTTCCTTGCAATATCTTTTAGCCCAATGAAATAAATCTTGTGGTCAAAATATGGTTTCCTGCTGAGAGCTGCAAACTCAATAGTCGAGCACCACGTTCCAGATTTGCTCCTATTCCACCACATGCTTATTTTCCATGGGCTGTGGCGTAAAAATGCCACTCTTCTGAAATGTTGAAATGATTTTCATGAGCGTTAGGAGCGGCGGCGGGCACGTAGCAGCCACCCTTGCGGCGTGGTGACTCGCACCTATTCATTCATCGATCTAATACATAAAAATATCAAAAAAAAACCTCTTTTTTTTTACTGTACTTTAGTAAAATGATTTAATCTTTTGATCTAAATATTCAAAAAAATTCTAAAAATTGAACATAATGAGATTTAACGCTTTTTTAACGACATTTGCATTTTTATAGGTTATTAAGTGAAAACTTGTGAAAATTGATAGCACTATCAGAAAGCTGTAAATAAAGTGCATGGAAATTAATACGTTTGTGATTTTTAAAACATCTTTCTCAGGCCCAAACGACGAGATGAAAAAGTCGTCTTTTGCGCTCACGCGACCTGTCTGCAGTGGCACTGGGGCAGTTGAGAAAATTCTCCTAATATTTAGCAATTGCAAAAAAGCTCTTCCATAAAACAAAGAACATAATTTGTTATAAAAATCAGCTATCATATGGTCGCAATCAAACAAGCCATACAAACCTTCTGAATGAATGTTATTTGTTTATACAACCATATTAAACATTCTTTGCAGCTAAAATTGGATCCTGTGATAGTACTATTAGGTTTTCAAATTCAACAAATACATAACTTTTTTATGCTGTAATTTTATGTGTATAACATATTTATGATTCTTTTTTTTTTGTTTTGAGACATATTTTACGGAAAAAAAATTCACAGATCGATTTTTGCAATTTCTCCTATTTGTTAAAAAAATTGCATTTTCAACAAAATGTATCACCTTACACTATTTCTGAATAGAGGTTTTGTTCACTTATTTTGCATTGCCGATAGGATGACACCCCAGTGTCAAAACTACTTTTTGTTGCTATCTCAAGTATCTCTTCGAAACTGTTGTCATCTTCATTACCTTATGTTTCCACCAAGGCTTTCTCTTCAATATTTGAGCAGTTTTTTCCTACATCAAAATGTTCACGTTATTTCGGCGGAATATTGAAAATATTGAAAAAAACGCTATTTACAATAAATTTTACTTACCACACGTAAAAATAAATATTACCATCCTAAAGTTGAGAAAAAATTACGTAGGAATGGATTTTGCAGCACTGTTTAACGACATTTTTTAATGGAATAATTAATTGTGCAACTAAGAATCCAGGCACAACGCCGAAAGGCTGTACTAAAGCGCTTTTCGAGCTCCTGCGCATGCGCAGCACACCGCTGGTTGCAGCTGCTCAAGTGCCGCGGTTCAGACGCTATTGTTCTAACTTAACTAGTCATTATATGCAAAAGGATTGACCAAATTAATAGGAAAAAAATTTTGTATAGTACAACAAACCTTTAGCAAAACGATCGTGCAGGTCCGTAGTAGAAAAATCAAATATAACGCTAGAAATGCATAAAAAAACGAAAGTATCGTATCTCGGCTTCTATTAGTCCTATAGCAACTTATTTTTTTTAATTCATGTAAAAATAAGGGTAATCACTTGCACCAAGTTGTTTTTGTCCAAGTTCAAAATTAAAGAATATACGGCCTTGTATTTACGGTTTTTTGTTAATAATTTTTTTATTTCGGGAGATTAGTTCAATTAATTTATTATAGGCATACGATTGAAAATACATGCCAGTTTTCTAACTCACTATGTCAATCTTGCCTTCGTTATAATAATACGTATCAGTACCAGTTTTAAATGTGTTCGTCTGAGGCTAGATCGCTGGTTACCTGATCCAATATTGTTTTCATAATTTATATGTTTAATTTAAAGAACAATTTATTTATATTGATAAATACAAGAAGTCTCTCGGCAGGGCTACCCGGTTCTTGCTTGCTTATTGTTTGAACTTACCTGTTCCTCTGGTACAACATTCTTTTCCTCATTTATTTAAATATTTATTAATCTATATATTTATACATTAAAAAATTAAGTAGTTGAGTATTTTGATTAAGTGATCAAAGCACACCTAATGTACTTTTTCATACATAAAAAATGGCCTTGAGATGCTTAGAATTGACACTTGTCCACTCGTCTTCTGGCATCTTTTTTGTTAATTATATATTTATTAATTTAATGATAATTAATCATCGATTAAGAAACACAACAAGTCAGTCAAAAATGCTGACGTTCACTCAATTACTAATTCGAAACTTGCGTCAGAGTTTATCTTTATCACAACATAGCGTAGTGGGATTGTTTTCAACACAGCGAAGCACTGAGGGATTTTTTTTGTTGCAACATTGTATGGAGGGATTGTCTTCCTCATATCGCAGAGTGGTAGGATTGTCTTTGTCGCAACGTTGCACTGTGGGATTTTTTTCACTGTAGTAAAGCACGGTAGGATTATTTTCGTCATAACGCAGAGAGGTAGAATTGTCTTCGTCACAACGTTGCGCGGTAGGATTGTCTTCGTTTTAGCACAGTGCTGTGGGATTTTATTCGTCGCAGTGTAACGTGGTGGGATACTCTTCTCAAAAGTGCCGAGTTAGGATAGTCTTTGTTAAAACAGTTAGTTGGGATAGTCTTCCTCTCAGGCATCGTAAATATGCTCGTTAATATGCACAGAGCAACTAATGTATATATTTCGACAGTGTACTACTATGTATATACTTGTGATTGCTAGGCCAACCATGAGTTTTATATATTTTCTTTCAAAATTGGATTCAGTTCTACAAGAACCAATTCATTACATACCATAACTTTTGTACAGACATTATGCAACATTAATCTTGCTCATAAATCATTATCTGAAGAGGTAAAAATTAGATGAATGCCATGGATTCAAACTATTTCAGATACATTGAATGGCAATTAAAAGCATTCATCAGAGATCTGTGTGAATCATTTGTTCAACAGATTTCGGATTTAAACCTAAACTTTGTTATAAAACTTTTGTTGGAACTAAATGACACTAGGATTTGCATGATAACTTCAATGCCATAAAAGGCTATTGCAACAGTCAAGAACAATAAAATAGCTATTAGTCCAAATTCTTAAACGTGTAGTTTTGTATTTGCTGCTTAAAACTTGGAGTTTCATATATTAGTCATAAAAAAATGCCTCTACTTCACTTACTAAAGGAAAAGGACACTAAGCAATGTTCACTTTTGCATTATGAGTGAGGCTGTGGACAAATGGAAACACCAAATTTCTAGAAAAAGAACTTATTTCTACTAAGAAAGCAAAGAAACAAACTCTACTAATAAAGTTTTACAACCGGCATAGATAACTTATATCTTACTTTTTTTAATGCTTCACAGTTACAATTTATAACTAGATTTTTTTTAAATGTAAATTTGTGTAAGATATTGCTTTCATGCAAACAATTTTTAGTAAATTAGAGGAGAGGAGTCGTTAATTGTCAAAAAGGTTTAGTACACAACTATATTAATATTTTTAGTGCCCTCAAATGTTAACTGACCAAAAAGCTAATTGAGGCTTAAAATCCATGTAACTCACTAGATACTGGTCCGAATGATTTTACTAACAAGGTAACTAAGTACATCATTTGACCATCTTTAAAAACTAGCAAATAATGATAAAAAATATAAAAATCATATAAGTTAGTATTTAATCTATATGTACATTATAATCTTCATACATGCTCATACATGTAATCAGACACATGAATAATAAATCAAAAAATTCCTTGCTACAAACGAACAAGCTAAAAAATCAGGTGATAACAGTATTTATAACAATGCAGTACAAGATGGTACTAAAATGCTTACTTTTTCGAAATCATAATCATCAGCTAAAAGAGCTTCTTCTTCATCATTACCAAGGTTGTATTCTTCATCTCCTAAATCTTCATCCAATAAGGCATCATCACTGCACATAAAAGAAAATGACTGTTGAAGAATGCATTAAAAGTGTGTATGTATATATATGCTATAATAAGTATGTTATAAAAATAGGTCGAGGTACACAAAATCCAGAGATGAAAGAGTAAAGATAAGTTAGAAACAACTAGACAAGGTAAACAAGCTAAAGACAGTTACAATTCATGTAAAAGATTCAGACAATTCAGCAAGGAAGAGAGTAAATTAAAAGTAAGTCAAAAAATAGCGCAAGTAAAAATCCCTATGCATTGACACGCATTGCAATGGTTTTAGTTAGATAATGCTTATTGCAGAACAATAGCTCCAATACCTCCAATAAACAGCACTGCTTAGTGTAAAGATTTGCAATTTCTGGTTCATAAAATAAATCAAAATACTTACTCTTGCTAACCCTTGCTGCAGGTTACTTGAGAATTAGGTTTTTAATTGCGCTTACCCAGAAAATGCAATAACTTCGCGGTCACCACGTTCCTAATGAACTCAAGAGTCCAAACACAAACTCAATCTACATCCTTTAAATTCACTCAATATAATACTCACTTATCAGACATCCCTCCTATTAAACTGCTTGGTTGCATCCAATTTAGTATTTATACTCTACGACAACCCCCAACTGCTACTGGCAAACCAAAGCATGCCTTAAGGTGTTTTTGACTCTGTCAATATCAATATCAATATCAATATATTAATAAATCTTAAATTCGTTACAGAACAGATGGAAAGACAGTTGGAAAAAAAGGTCTAATCTATCTGATCACAAGTCTGCATTCTATGTGAAAAAGTACTGTTTCGAAATGCAGACGCACGAGAGATCGAGAGTACGAACCATGGACTGATGAAAGTTAGTTAGAAAGTTGGCGCGTTCGATTATCATCGTACGGTTCGTACTATTTGCGCTACGGACTACTGGAGCTGTTCATATAGACATTTTTTGCTTATTTCATTGTGAACGTTCATATTGAAAAGGGGGTTCCACTGTTCCACTAAACTCAAAGTGAGTGAACAGACTGAACAGACGTATACCTCTTTTTCCATCAGGCAACAAAGCCTATATGGGGTGTTTTCCACAATCGTCACCAGCAAGTAATAGTGGGTTGCGCTTTACGTTACCGTCAGGTCAGTGAGTCAACTACCTTGAATTAACTGGCGCTCTGTTCCGTAATCTGGCCAGTTAAAATAGCAGACGACAGTCAACAGCGATGAAATCTTCACTTTTTTTTCTCGACTTTCAAGTCGTCTACTATTTTAACTGGCCAGATTACGGAATATAGCGCCAGTTTAATTCAAGGTAGTTGACTTATCGGCCTGACGGTAACGTAGAGCGCAACATTAAATTACTTGCTGGTGACGATTGCGGAAAACACCCATGGTCGCAACTATGTTAACTGACAGAGAACACAGTATAGGTCTGTTCAGTCTGTTAACACAATTTGAGTTTATCGGAACTGTGGAACCCCCTTTTCAATATGAACGTTTACAATAAAATAAGCGAAAAATGTCTATGTGAATAGCTCCACTCTCTTAACCCCCGAGTAGAAACGAAAGTGGACAGCTTAAACACTTTAACGCATGGTCCAAATCAAGCAACCAAGCTTAGCCGCAGGTGGATTTCCAATATGGCGCTGAATTGGGCATAGTTTGGCCTGACTTGGTATAACTTTCGCTCAGTAATCGCCCGCTTTTATCTGCACTGATATTAGACATACACATGTGTATGTGTCTGTAAGTGTCACGTCTCGAAGGTCGAAGGTAATATAGTTTACTTATGTACGTAATCCATTATCAGGGCCTAGCGATACCCTTTCAATGATTTCATTACAATACTGGCCAGGCCCTGCTCAGGCCACCTGGCCAGAGCCTGGTGTTCAGCCACAGCCGCCATAGGTCATAGTAGTCATTTCTTGTCGGGAAAGTAGGCAGCGTGGCAGCCAAGCACTTTCAATTTCTACTCGGACTGTATCAGGAGCAGTAAGCGATCAAAAAAGGCGTTAGCACATGCAATGTGGCATAACAACAGTGGTGGGAGGAGAATGCGCAAAATGTAAGGACTGAGTGAAGGCAGGGGCGAGCACGTAGACCTAAGCTTAGGAGGAGCAGGTCTTGAGCTGACGCAGGGGATGCCTGGTAGTAGTCAAGCAATTTATTGAAAACATGGACCTCGTAGAGCTTGCTCCTTGAAAATGAAGGTCACTAATGGGCACAGACCTACGCGCAAAGTAGTAGGGCTGGGGCCGTCAGGCTAAGAGACGCGGCTCCGCAGGGCGACAGCCATGAGTCAGATTGACGGCAAATGTTTAATATGCAACCTGCTCCACCAGTTCTGTCCACGCGAGTCAAATAGACGAGACATTACTTATGTGAATTTTTATTTGTAACTATTATTATTATTATTATTATTATTATTATTATTAGTATTTAATTCATTTGGCGAATGTGTTTAATTAGCAAAAACTATTATAAATGCAAACAATTTGAAATACTATGTACACTGGGCATGCGAGTGCAGATGAGAGAAAGAAAGAAAGAGACAGAAGTAAGGGAAGAAAGGGGTAGGTGCGAATGCGGAGCGGGGAGAGACAGAGAAGGGAGGAGTGCATGAGCGTGGCCCAACTTGGCCAGTAGTCGAATGATAGCGAGCGAGAAAGGTTTGTATCGGTGGCCTGCAATGTAACTCAAAAAGACACTTATACGATTAAACATTTTAGTAATAATTCACCTCTTGTTTATTTTCAACTCTTGTGCTCCGGCTTTCCTTTTCCTAACGACTAAAAATTGGTGCCGAAACCCGGGAGCCAAAAGCCGTACCCAAGGCTCCCGGATTTGCGGGAGTTCGACGCATGCGCAGTGCGCGGTCACCCTTTCCTCTCTTAAGTAGACCGATTGGGGAGCTACCTCTGTTTATAAATAATTATAACCAATGTTTATAAATAATTAACACCAATGTTTATAAATAATTATTTTTTTTTAAATATACTACAGTAAGTAAAAGTACTTCACTTTATAAATCATTCTTGTAAATGTTGCTCATTAAAGTCCAATACAATTCGTTAAATGACTTTTTATAACAAAAGTATTAGTAAAATAAATTTCAAAAAAAAAAAAGTCTAGATTGCGTACGAGTTTGCAAAAGCTTCGATTTACAAACCAAGAGGTTCACGGCACGAGTCAAAGGCAAAGGCCGTAACGAGCTTCGTGAAAAAGCATTTTCAGACGGGTTTCGTATACTATTTTTCCGCCTAAGAACCCAAAAGCAAGCGACGAAGGTGCTATTTTAAGGTTAGAAGGTGGAAGAATATATTTTGCATATTTACCGCTCGTACCATTTAACTTTTTTCATAGACATATAAGACATAGACTGCGCGTTCTTATGTACAGTGCTAAAACACAAATAGAAAGAGACACAATATCAAACATTTGTATTTGTCTTTCTCGCACGTTGCCAACGGTGGGGAGGTTGCATCAGCTAGACTTAGTTTACTGACCCCAACCATTGGCAACGTGCAAGAGAGACAGATATATACACGTTCGATGCTGTGTCTCTTTCTACTTGTGCTTCAGCGCCAAGTATAAAAACAAACAGTCTATTTCTTAAATGTCTATGACTCTCTCCGCTTCGCAGGCCTGTGTTATAACATTGGCCCGCAAAGCAAAAAAAAGTTATATGGTACAGACTCTGATCCAAATAGAAAGAAAAATCAAGGAATGGTCAGTGGTAAAGCGCAAAGCGCAAACTTGCCAAAATCCCAATGGTAGTCCAACAGTATTGGGATTTGGGATATAAATCCGGCAAGACTTGGAAATTCTCTAGGACCCAACCTATCTGACGTGGGAAATCCCTAGATCAAAAAAATAGTACCGAAGGCGACGTGCGAAATTCAAAGAAGGTCCAATAATACAAGAATCCATCACCTAATGACCCAGTGTGCTTACTGGCCACTCTGTTAAATACATAATTATTATAAACACAAGCGCCTATCACCCAATAACCCGGGGCGCTTACTGGCCACTCTGTTAAATAAATAATTATTAATAACACAAGTACCTATCACCTTGTGACCCAGGATACTTACTGGCTACTATTCAATAATAAATTATCAAGTAATTACAAGAGCACGATTTAAAAAGATCTTTGTCGTACTAGATGAGCAATCAAAATTGTGATATGTTTACATATGTTATCAATCGACTTTTTATTATTTAATAGTGTTGCAAATAAGTGTCCTAGATCATCAAGAAAAAGGTGCTTGGCATATTTATTAATAATTGTTTATTTACTAGATTTGCAATTAGCGCCCCAGGTTATGTGGTAATAAGTGTTGTGTTATTAATAATTATTAATTTAACAGAGTGGCCAGTCAGCGCTCTGGGTCATTGGGTAATGATAGGCGCTTGTGTTATTTTAAAATATTTGTATAACAGAACGGCCAGTTAGCGCCCCGAGTCATTGGATGATAGGCGCTGGTGTTATTAAAAATTATTCGTTCAACAGAGTGGCCAGTCAGCGCACCGTGTTATTGGTTAATAGGCGTTTGTGTTATTAAAAATTATTCATTTATCCGAGTGGCCAGTAAGCACCCTGGGTCATGAGGTGATAGGCGCTTGTGTTGTTTATTAATAATTATTTGTTTAACAGAGTTGCTAGTAAGCGCCCCGGGTCAAGAGGTGAAAGGCGCTTGTGTTATTAAAAATTATTCATTTAACAGAGTGGCCAGTAAGCACACTGGGTCATCAGGTGATGGATTTTTGTGTTATTGGACCTTCTTTGAATCTTGCGCGTCGCCTTCAGTACTATTTTTTTGATCTAGGGATTTCCCACGTCAGATAGGTTGGGTCCTAGAAAATTTCCAAGTCTTGCCGGAACTATATATCGGTTATACAAGATATATTTTTCTAATACTACCGATTAGAGGACTTACAGGCAAAAATACACAGGACTCACAGTTCGCAGTTCGCAGTATGAGTGATGCCGCCCTCACTGGCGCTAGACACAATAATAAATACAAATTATTTAATTAAAACCGAAATTTGACAACAGCCGTATATTTATTTTATTTGTATACTATACACTCCAAACCGTCCAAACACAAACACTCCAAAGTCCAAACTCCAAAACTTTTAACAGTCCACACTATAGTGTGTATACCTATCAGTGTATGTATTACTACATATATATATAGGCTTTCATAACATCCCAGATGCAGACGATTTTGTTGGAGCGAATTTCTCGCGCATGCGTACTTCAACATATACATAGATATAGTATAGTTGATATGGTAATACGCAAATAAATAAATATTTGCGCACTACATAACTGTTAATAGTTTATAACAACTCCAGAGTCAATTTTATTCTGCGTGTTACGCGGAAATTAATGGCGTTCTTGTAATTAAGCTGCGTGTGATAGATTTATTGTAATAGATGATTGAAAATTTACCCAGCACCCGCAAATAATAATTAATTACTACAGAAGTATGTCACGCGCAATTGTTTTACAAGTAGCGGAAATTCGAGGAAATTACGCGCAATTTTTTGGCTATTTTTGCAGATTTTTAGAAACAGTTCGGGTGCCCATGTCACACAGCCCTCAAGAGGCAATATTAAGGAGGTTCGGTAGTGATAATTGTTTATGGTAAAAATTTTTGAAATTTCGATATGTTGTTTGGGATAATAGTATCAAATTACAGCTAAATTTTTGAAGGGCTTAACCACACCGTTTTCAAGATATATTGACCTAAAAAAACAACATTTTAACATGTAGGCTTATGGAAAAATCACTTAAATTTCACATAAAAAAAAAAAACGGCTAAATGAA